TGAATTGATATTGATTGTGCTTCGTTCCAGTTCCATTATTCATCCTCTATGAAATTCATATCTATACTGATCAGAATTTTCCTTGTATGAGGTTCGAAAACTCTGTAAGCTTTGGAAATAGTGCTGTAACCCATAAAGATGCCTGGAATTGTCTTTTTATCAAGTTTATCACGCTTAACTTGAGGAACATAAGCAAAGCACACACAACCAAACACTTTAAGAAAACTTTGTGAAGGTTTTATCCCACACCGAGCTTTAAATGGTGTTTTATTTTCCAAAGCCTTCGCTAAAAGTAGATTTTGCAGAAAAACTGCAGTATTCACTGCCTCTGCCCAAAAGATTTTGGGTAATTCCTTCTCATGCAACATACAATCTAGCCATTTCCATTATCCATCTATTTCTTCTTTCACTAACTCCATTTTGTTCCGAAGTGTATGGTGTTGTAAGCTGATGCACAATACCAGCAGCCTCGCAGAATGAATTAAATTCTGCTGAGGTGTATTCCTTTCCATTATCAGACCTCACAGCTTGAATATTGCAGCCACTTTGATTTTCCACCAAATTCTTGAATTTCCAGAATACACCAGCAACTTCTGACTTGAATTATAAGAAGAAATCCAACACATTCTTGAAAAATCATATATGAAAAGAACACAATAGAGGCTACCTTGTAATGATAGAGTTATTTGCAGTCCTGCAACATTAGTGTGTAGTAGCTGCAACTTTCGTGAGGCTCTCTAGGTTGATTTTAGAAATGGCTTTCTGTGTTGTTTACCAAATTGGCAGGCACGACATCATATATGAAAAGAACATAATAGAGGCTACCTTGTAATGATGGATTTTTGAGTAAACGACCTCAGAATTGGGATTCGAAGGTTCCAGCAAGTTCGTGTGATGATTTCGGACTTGGGCGTATGTCCGGATCGGGTTTTGAAAGACCCGAGAATGTTTTGGCACCTATTATGGAAGTTAGCATTTTCGGGAGAATTTCATAAGTTTGGGTTGAAGTGCATTTCAGTGTTATCAATGTCTATTTGAGATTCCGAGTCTGGGAATAGCTCCGCATTGTGATTCTGGTGTTGGGAGCGCAATCGGAAGTGAATTCAGAGGTCCATAGGTCATTTTAGAGTCATTTGGCGAAAGTTAGAGATTTGAAGGTTTTGAGAAGTTTGACCGGGAGGGGACCTTTTGATATCGGGGTCGGATCCCGATTTCAGAAGTTGGAGTAGGTCCGTAATGTCGAATATGACTTGTGTGCAAAATTTGAGGTCAATCGGATGTGATTTGATAGGTTTTGGCATCGAATGTAGAAGGTTGAAGTTCTAAAGTCAATAAAGTTCGAATTGGGGTGTGATTCGTGATTTCGACGTTGTTTGATGTGATTTGAGGCCTCGAGCAGGTCCGCATTATGCTATGGGACTAGTTGGTATGATTGGTTGGGGTCCCGGGGGCCTCGGGTGAATTCCGGATGGCTAACGGATCAAATTTGGAATTTGAAGAAGGATTTCAGCAGCTGGTATCTGGTGTAACTGCACCTGCGAGGTTTTGGCTGCAAAAGCGGCCAAAGGAGCGCAGATGCGGTTGAGAAGGGAGAAGGCTGGGACCGCAGATGCGGTCAAGTTGACGCAGAAGCGGGACCGCATCTGCGATAAGAGGAGCGCAGAAGCGGAAGAAGGGGGCCTGGTGAAGGACCGCAGATGCAGTAGTGGGGCCGCACCTGCAGAACCGCAGAAGCGGTCAAGTGACCGTAGGTACGGAAGGGCTGGAGGCAGTGAGTTGTTTTAAAGTCGGGATTAGGCCATTTTCTTTCATCTTTCTCTTGGCTTGGACGATTCTTGGAGGGTTTCAAGAGGGGATTTTCATCATCAATGGCAAGGTAAGTAGTATCCACTCCTTATAAGTAAAATACATGGATGTTATACGGATTAAAGTATGGAAATTAGTAGAAATATGGGATTTTGAGGGAAAACCTTGAAATTTAGTATTCTTGGATTTTGACCACGATTTTGGGCATGAAATTGAGAGTAAATTATATATTTGAGTTCATGAGGTTATGGGCAAACTTTATCTTCGAAAAATTTCGGAATCCGGGCACGTAGGCCTGAAGGCATTTTAGTCAACTTTTCGATTGGGGTTAGGAATTGTTATAAATTGGATCATTAGGAGTAATTGAGCATATATTAATGGATTTGCATAATTATTGGCTAGTTTCAGAGCATTGCGCATCGATTTGAGTCTTCGGAAGGGCATGGAATGCCGGTTATGGAACTTCGGAGCGAGGTGAGTCTCCTTTCTAACCTTGTAAGAGGGAATTGTCTCCATAGGTGAGTTAATTGGTTATGTGCTCCTATTTGTGGGGGCTACGTACGCACGAGGTGACGAGAGTCCATGCATAGCTACTATTATGCTTAAGCCCGGGTTGTCTAGGACCCAAAAGCATGCTTTACTTGTAATATTTGCAATCTTGTTGTTAAATTGAAATGCTTAAAACATATTGAAATGTACAAATGAATTTATAAAAACTAGACATCGTTTCTTGACTTTTAAAAAGAGAGTTTTCCTTTTATTGGAATATTGATTCCCTGATGGTTTCTTGATTGACTATCTGGAGTGTTTATCTAAATTTGACCGCGTCGCATGTATGATTCGCGAGCGGGGTAATAGATGCATCTATGGTTCGCGCCATTGGACCCTCTGGCAGTGCACAGTTAAAATATTGTTGGATCGGGCCGTACATCCTCGGCATGATTTGCGCATGCTTGTATTGCTTGCCTTGAAATTTATTGAAGTTGATATTGTTTCTTCTTAGTTTGAGAATATATGTATAAATGATGAAAAAGGAATTTGGGAATTTCATATAAAAGAAAGAATTGTTTACTTGCTTCACTCTATTGAATTACAATCATGTTTATATAAATCCTCGATTTGTTATATTGTTGATGTATCATTATTGTACCACTAGTAAGTGTCGAAGTCGACCTTTCGTCTCTACTTCTTCGAGATTAGGCAGGATACTTACTGAGTACACGTTATTTTCGTACTCATGCTACACTTGCTGTGCATTTTTGTTGCACAGGCACATGCATCTCTAGCGGCCTAGTGGCTTAGCAGCATGGTCGATACGGAGACTTAGGTGAGCTGCACTTCTCGAGATGACCCGCAACCAGCAGAGTCTCTTTGAGATTTCCATATTTACTTTCTGTCATATTTGTATTCCGAAAAGTTGTTGTATTATGATGTTTCCTAGAGATAGCTCATGCACTTGTGACACCGGGTTCTGGGATGATTATGGGATTGTTTAATATTGAGTTTGTTAAAGACATCAATACCTATTTAGTGAAACTCATTACTTATTGTTTAATGTATAAAAGAAACGATTTCGAAAATATTAAAACAAGACATTCCAAGTAAATTGGTGTTGGCTTGCCTGACAATGGTGTCCGGTGCCGTCACGACCCTTAGTGGATTTTGGTACGTGATATAATGTGTATATAATCGTTTATTGTCAGTAAATCATCTATGTATATCAGCTATAAAAAGTAAACGATAAATCTGGCTGGATATTTATGTAAATATTCTATAAGATTTTGGTTACTTGATTTTATCCATGATATGATTTCTATTGTAATAATTTAAAAAACTCTATACTAAATCAAAACTATCTTATCCTTTTATTTTTAAAGTTACATTATATTATGAAAAAAAACACATTTCGAAATAATTTTTTTACATTTTTTTAAAGAAAAATTCACGTCATACCATTTTTTTTTAAAATATACTTTTTATTTCACTTGAAAATCGATATAGACACTATCAATTAGAACGCAACATCCCTCTTGTTGAAATTCGAGAAAAACAATCTTTCACATAATTTAATGATTCAAAACTAATATTCTATAATGAAAAAAAATATTATACCCTTGCAATGTTGGCTTGATTGTAGCTAAATGAAAAGGTTTCAACTTATACCCTTCAATTCCTAGAAGCTGCTAAATTAAAATTAATGATAGCAATTGTATAACCAATATTTTGTTATTTGTTTGATGTCCATTTGTAAAAATGACTCTTCAAACAAACATTCTTCAAAAAGAAAAAGAAAAATAACTTTTTGTTTTAGTATTAACACATTTTTGTGATGTTTCTTTCTCTAGCATGTAGGTTTACTTCATTATATATGTAAGTAGATCGGAAGAGC